AATAAGTTTCCCATGTGATATGTGGTCTAGTTGTTGGGAAAATTTGCAAATGTGAATTTTGACTTTATTTGCAAAATCTCTCTAGAATTTAGTAAAATGGGCATAACTTTTGCATACTGACTCGGATGAAAAAGTTTTTTATATGAAAAATCATCTACTCGAAAAGTTACATCCAAATTTAACGGGGGGAACCCCGTTAAACATTTTCTAAATCCTCAAAAACCTAACAGAAAAAAAGTTACGGGGCTTTTAAGATCTAGAGTGGAAAAAATCGAAAAATTTTCAAACTATGGTCAAAGAATGGTCAACTAATGGTCAAACTAATTATTCTAGAATATTAGTGTTACTAAATAATTATTTCAGTTATTTGAATTTTTGTTAAATCTGGTCAAACGGTGGTCAAACTGTGGTCAAACAATGGTCAAACAATGGTCAAACTAATTATTCAAGAAATATTAGTGTTACTAAATAATTATTGTTTTTTAAAACAATAGTTTCAAACTCAAACAATGAAATGTGTCACTTCATGCTCACGCAAAATTCCAGAGGGTTAATAGGATTGACATCTTACTATTGTCAGGAAAACAACAAGTGCAGACTTGGAAACGAGGGAGAATAGAACCCGGAAGTTAAGCGTGCTCAGGCTGGGAGAGTGGGAGGATGGGTGACCGTTCGGGAAGTTGGATGAGGAGGGATGATTAGAGATTAAAGGATAAATTGAGCAGTGATGAGGGGTGGTGATTAGAGATTAGAGGTTAAAATAATTCAGAAATTTGAAAATAAAAAAAATATTAAAAAATTAAAAAAAATTCAAAAAAAATAATCATAAAATTTCCTTTAGTCCCGGTTGGTGTTACCAACCGGGACTAAAGGTGGAGCTCCACGTGGCCGCGACCTTTAGTCCCGGTTTTCGAACCGGGAGACTGATGCCCCCTTTTCTACTAGTGTTTGCTTTGATGAAAACTAGATCTTGAATGGGCATTCTGACGATATATTTTGCATTCAAACTTCCCATACAATATCTTGTAAGTAATCATCATATTAGTCCCAACACTGCCACCTTTCACTTTACTTGGTTAGTTTGAGAGGATAATGTCATCATTTTTTGTTCTAGATGCGTCACCCAAAGAGTATTCATCACTTTTTGCACGTGTGTAATCTCGTATTTACAAAGAGGTGATATATCATGGACACCACTAGTTAGTGCCCCTAGAAGTTTGCACTGTATTTATAGTACTAATTTATAAATAAACAATGCTACAATAATGTTGATGCAGTAAACACATTATTACTGCCATATGGTGTGATGATAGTTACTCACGACTATGTTTCGGTACTCTTACTTACCACCATAGTAGTGATATACTCCCTTTGTAAAGAAAAACAAGAGTGTTTAGATCACTAGTGATCTAAACGCTCTTATATTTCTTTACAGAGGGAGTAATTATCATGATAATGATGTACTCCCTCTATTTACTATGATGTTTGGTGAAAACTTACCAGTTGATGTATTAATAATCATGATCAGTGTTAGTGTTTGTCACTAACATGGTGGTGATGTAATTATCACACTGGTTTGTAATATTTACCATAATGAGAAGAGTGAGGATGCACTTACTAGACTAGCTATTTGGTAACTTTTACCAACATGCTAACATTGTACTTACTAGATGGCGTGGTAACATGTTATAAAATAGGATGATAACTTACCACGTGGTAATAAACGAGTGTAAAATAGTTTGCTGAAATAATACCCAATTCCAGTCTAGTTTGAGGTACTTGGGTTAACGGTGAAAATGGATTTCTGAGCTGAGGAGATGGTTAAGCAGGAACCCATTTTTATTACCAAAACCAGCTTTTAATTCGTTGATCTCATTTTGTTTGTTGTTCCATGTGTGCAACTAGCAACCATTGTTTCCCTATGTGTAAATAGTAATGCTTTTAATTGCATGTCATGATTGAGTTCATGATAGTCTTGTTGCATGCAAGAACTTCGACACGTGACTGGGTTGTCCACCATAGAGCCATAACTAGAATGTTTTTTTTTTAAGTTTTGGTTATTTCTGTTAGTAGAAACTAGAGCGTATAGCAATAATAACATGTTATTGTAGTCAAAGGTTCTCAAGGTGTATCCATACAAGTATTGGTCATCCATGGTGACATGCTTCGTTGGAGGATTCCAAACAGCACTAGTTGGAATAATATTGAATACAGACAAGAACGCATGGAAGCTAGGATGGAATCTCGACCTTGTGACTATCTTGTACTCGGTGAGTCGGTTGATCTCACAAAATATCAATGTAAAAATAGACTACAACATAAGATACATGTTTCTTCTGCGAAAACATGAGATACATTTGAAGGTAGGCAACTGAGAATTTCTTTGGAATTATTCTTTGAGGATTCAACTTATTCAGTTGGTAATTGAAATTTTTTTGGATGTATGAGTATTCACTAGGAAATAAACATGAAATCATTTGGTGTAGGGGGCACTTGCAACAGCAGGGAAATATTGCCTGAACTCATGGGTTGTTGCCAAGCGAGGCCCAACATATCCTCCGATGTTCAACCCACTGTGTGTGGTATTCACAATTTTGCTGGACTCCATCATCATAGGCAATGAAATTACAGTCGGAAGGTCCGTCCTTTCGCTTCTTCTTCCAGTCTTTTTGATTATGGTAAAATTGATATTTTCTATAACTGGTATTGTTGAATAGAAAATAAATGAAATTGTTCTTCTTTATTCTATATTTGCAGCCTGCTCGGTACAACAATGGTGCTTGTCGGGCTTTACACTTTCCTATGTGCAAAATCAAAAGAAGTACGTGACAAATAGATCTCATCGGTGGCAGGCAGAGTTCTTTTATATAGCTACAGAAAGGACAAAATTTGTACTTGTATACATGAAGATCATAATACATTAGATGGAAAATATCACAAGGTTTTCCTTCTAGGAACCCAACGGTCGGTCCGAACATCCATGTAAGCCACAAAGAGATGACAACATCACTTACTTGGCAATGCATTTTTTATCCATCTCTCCCCATACCATTTGACAAATTGCCTTGCATGCGGCGTACACGGGGTTCGATCGTTTGGGATCATATCAAACATAACTCGTCTACCACTTATGTACTTCCTCCGTAAAGAAATATAAAAGCATTTAGATCACTTATGTACGTACTACGTAACGTACTTTCGGTCCAGTGCAGGGCACCGGCCGGGTGTACGTGTGCATGACCCATGCAAGCATTTTGTGTGTCGATCGTGAGGCTGTCACAGCAGATCGGCTCGTACGATGCGTTTATGAGGAGGAAAACCACAATTCACATGCAGGGCCAAATTCTCTCACATCCATACTGACGTATGTAGCCGAGGCAGGGGCAGGGGAGCATCGAATTGCACGAGCCCTCTCCTATATCTACGTGCGTACGCAGCCTCAAGTTTCAGCCTCATTCCAAGCTAGCTAGCTGCTAACAAGCAAGGTAGGATAGGCGCCCTGTCCACCACCTGTAGTCCATAGATATACAGCCGGAGATCGATCAATCGAGCCGGCTGCAAAGCCTGCAACGATCGCCGGTGACTGATGGACATCAAGGCGGACATCAAGGTGGACATCAAGGCGGAGCCCAAGGCGGCAGAGACGAAGAAGGCGGCGGGGTGGGAGTGGAAGGCGCCGGCGTCCATGGTGCTGGTGCAGCTCTTCATCACGGGGATGATCCTGCTCTCCAAGGTGTCCATCGGCGGCGGCATGTTCATCTTCGCCCTCCTCGCCTACCGCAGCCTCTTCGGCGCCGCCTTCATCCTCCCATTGGCGCTTATCTTCGAAAAGTACGTGTGTGTGCAGCATGCTTATCTATCTATTTACCGTCAATTAATTACACTTACTTCAGTTATTCTAACTTTAAAAACTGCCACCCGGGCTCTTTGAAATTGTCCTCTCGCACACCGGTTCTCCTCGCTCGCAACACCCTTCTGCCACCTAAGGTCCTCTCCTCCACACCATCGTCTCTTTGCCCCTCGTCTCTCCTGTCCGGCGGCCATGTTGGTGGCAAGACCACATGTCCATTTCTCTTCGATTCTAGTGGGTACTTATTTCGCTCAGATTTAGTTCCTGGAAATTGCTCCACGGACGACAGTCTACGCACAACCTGCGAATGACACCTTCTCCGAGAAACGCGTAACAGCTCTCGGGTGCCCCTACACCCTTATGAACAGTAAATTCATAAAAAAAATCCTGAAACTTTCGGAGATCAAAGATTTGATGTTCTTGCAAAGTTTCAACAACAAATAACCTTCATGGAGCCCTCACAAAAAAAATCACTGCTCAAAAATGGACATAAACTTTGAACAATTATTAAGTTTTTTTAGGGCTCTTTGAATGTTATTTTTAGCTAAAACTTTGTAAGATCATAAAAGTTTGATCATGTTCGATGTCCCGAAGTTTCAGATTTTTTTTAATTTACTGTTTATAGAGGGTGTAGGGGCACCCCGGGTGCTGAAAATCCTGTCTCTCCTACCTTCTCCCCAACATCGCTCTTGCGTGCACGCTCACTTTTAGCGCTGCCACGTAAGAATCGTGCAGGAATCGGCCGCACAGTCGTCGTGTGTATAGCAGCGTTGTTAGTTCCTTGGCGGCATCAGCGAGGTCATGGTGGTGATGACACATCGGATTAAGGTCTATCCGACCTAAGCTTTACTACACTCACGGGATGGCGTGACATTTATTGACTAGAGAGCACTAGGCCCCACAGTTGAAAATCAGGGGTGGAGCGGGATTAAAATTGGAGTAATGCTACACGTACAAACGAGTTACAAGGTTTTACAAAGAGAGTTAATTTGATTGGTCAATAGATGTGGAGGCGGCCCACCCCCCCTGAAAATCAGGTGGGGGCAAGTTTGTGATTGGTTAGTAGATGAAAAAAATTCTAGTTAGTGTGTAATTGCGTGTAACTCTTTGCATGTTTAGCATTATTGTTAAAATTGAGACACGTATGCCCGTAGGGTGCAGCCCGTAACTGTAGAATTAATGATTCAACCTCTCTCTGCCTAGACAACGTCTGGTCCAACGTCAACGAAGAGCATGTGAGGGTAGGTGTTACCAAAGCCTGTTGGATATTGTTGAATCTTGGCAGTTGTTGTTTCAACTAAAAGAAACAATTGACTAGTTCTTGGTGTGGCTACTTTGACCTCTTCTTTCGATGTGCCGTGCGGTACGGTCTAGTTTCTCCAACCCTATAGACTAGTGGTGAAAGATTGCAAGCCATGTTGTGTGAGGTGATCTCCAACCGATATTCCTTTAGTGGTTACTATATCCTTTTTCTAGCCACGAGTCGTTATTGCGATATTCAAAGTCTAGTATGGTGATGCTGCATGTAAATGTTCATTTCCTTTACTATCCGTACAGTGCAATTTTCAAAATTTGGCAGACAGCGTATAATAGCAGGAAGTAGATGGCAAGTATAGTTTTCAATGTAATTTTATTTTTACTGTTTATTTTATGTCTTGTTATCTTTCTGTTGTACCCGCTACTATTTTCTTTGAGTGTCTTTCGTAATTATTGGATGTAAGTGTTATTGAGTGTCTTCTCTTGCAAAAAAATACGTATCTTCCAATTCATCATTGACGGAGTCCTGATCCCTCATGGATTTTATATATAACTAGCTAATCTGGCTGTGGATTCCGTTTGTGCGCGTGCATGCAGGGGGAAGTGGAGGGAGATGGGTTGGCACGCCGCGGGATGGATCTTCCTCAACGCCTTCATCGGGTATGCAGTCAGTACATACATTGCACCTGCATGCTGTCGACGCGCAAATAGTTGCCATGAACTGTTTTTCGTTACGTTGTTCTGGTACGTACTGGCTCGATCTATGCATGCACGCCTTAGCCAGGGGCGGACGTAGCAAGACCCGCCCGGTGGTGCCACTGGAGACTCGGTCTGGATGACCCCCTTAACTAAATGCAGGCTATTAGTTTAGTGTGTGATACCGCCTAGGTCCTGGTCTAGGCCACGTCCAAAACTCCAAACGAGCCACTACGTCCCAGCTTCAGGTTCAGTGATATACTTAATTTCAGTGGCAGACAACGTGGATCTCAGTGAAGCCAGCACATCGCACTACCCATGCAGCTGGTCGATCTCTCGATGTCCTTTTATATATGCATAGTGTACTAGCTTATCCCACATTCTCGATTATTTAAAAGTTTGTTAGCTCCTCCACAACATATGCAGTTAATTAAACAAGTATTTGAGACGACACTTGTCTTGGGGACTCCACTTGTGTGCACAAGTGAATCACAACCCTATTGTTTCTATCCGCAGGATATAGGATTGGGCCTTTCAACTACATGCTAAGATACAATTGTAACATTATAAACTACTATATAACGATGTTGTCGAAAGTGTGTTATCTCCGCAGCATGCAGTTACTATACTATTAATTTGAGCACACTTGTGTTAGGCACTCTACTTCTGGCACAAGTGAAGCACAAACCTATTATTTCAATCCGCAGGTTATAGGCTTCGGCTTTTTGACTGCAGTGGTACTATATAAAACTGCGAGACATCGTCAAGTTTTCTTTTTTTAATCGGTACCAATAATGCAACTTTTAAATTATGCGGTAATTTTGTAGGGCGAATCGTTCCCCATGCGTCGCGCTGTAGTGGAAATATAAATTATAATGATGTCGTTATCTATCAAGTCAATATAGCAACGGGAGACGTGGGCTCCAATGTGTGTGTTCCCTACTTTTGTACTTCCTCTCGAACTCTTAAAGCCTTGCAGGTTTAAAAAAAATCTCCTAAGGAGTATCTCTTGAGCAAACTCTAGTTAGATGCTTCACCAGCAAATGATATCAAGTCAAAGCCGCCATATTATAGTGATTAGTAATGGGGTACAATTTTTCTCTAGCTAGGTCGACTCCTAAAGCCACGCATGTTAAAAACATCTTAAGAGTATCTCATGAGCAAACTTCTGTTAGATGCTTGACTAGCAAATGAACTCGTGATAAGTCAAAGCCACCATATCATAGTCATTATTACGTGGTACAATTGTTCTCTAGCTAGGTCTACTCTTAAAGCCATGCATGTTAAAAATCTCCTAAAGAGTATGTCATGAGTAAACTTCGGTTAGATGCTTGACCAGCAAATGAACTCGTGATACGTTAAAACCGACATATTATAATGATTAGTAACGGGATACAATTGGTATCTAGCAAGGTCTACTCTTAAAGACATGCATGTTAAAAATCTCAAAAGAGTATCTTATGAGTAAACTTCAGTTAGATGCTTAGTAATATAGGGTACACTTGGTTCTGTAGGTCAACTATGTGTATGTATACATAGTGGTTGGCTGCAAAGAGCTTCGATTAGAGAGAAAATTAAGTACCCCATGAAGGAAAATTGAGATAAAAGTAGCCACTTTCAATCTAATGCATACCTGATTAGAGGGTGAATTATGTGAACAAAATATTTGATTACATGTACTACACGTCATGTATGTAGGTATGCGGTGCCAATGAGCCTATACTACTATGGTCTCCGTGATACAACGCCAGCTTATGCCGTCATCTTTTTGAACATAATTCCGTTGGTCACGTTCATTCTCTCGCTCGTCTTCAGGTACCAAATTTATTTCATTATTCATGTATTCATTCACAATAAACATCGGTCTTGATTTGCCAGACCCAAAATAAACTTCTTGATAATCAATAACCACTATTCTATCTTATTTTCCGAAACACGATGTGATATGCCTGCACATATTAGAATGGAGACATTGCAAATCTGGAGCATAGCTGGATCACTAAAGGTCGTAGGCGTTGTGCTCTCGGTTGGAG